CCAATTTATTGAGTTCTTTATATGTTTTAGAGATCAGCCCTCTGTTCTATGTGGGGTTGGTGAAGATTTTTTTCTTATTCTGTAGGCTGCTGTTTTGTCTTATTGACCATGTCCTTTGCTTAAAGAAGCTTCTCAGCTTCAAGAAGTTCCATTTATTGTTTCTCTAAGTGTCTGTGCTACTGGGGTTATATTTAGGAAGTGATCTCCTGTGCCAATGCGTTCAAGTGTACTTCCCACTTTCTCTTCTATGAGGTTCAGTGTGGTTGGTTTTATGTTGAGGTCTTTGGTCCATTTGGACTTGAGTTTTGTGCATGGTGATAGATATGGGTCTATTTCCATTTTACATGTTGATATCCAGTTATACCAGAACCATTTCATAACACATTTTTTTATATGAGGGGCAGAACCTAGATCTACACAGAGCTGCAGGTGACTATTAAGGGCATGTTCTCTATCAAGTTTGTTATTGGAGGAAAAAAAAATCAAGTTTATGAATTCTGTGAAATTTTGGATTTTGTTTCACATCGCTGAAACTATCTTTTCCTCTGAAACTTCATGAGAAAAATATACTCAGAAATTAAACTTTGGTGTCTGGGGAGGCACCTTTACTGGGTAAGAATACTTGTTACATTAGCATGAGGACCCTAGTGTGGATTCCCTAGCACCAACATAAAAATCAAGGCATGTGTCTGTGAGCCTGTAACTCCAGTGAAGAGGGATCAGAGACAGAGGATCCTTGGGGTTCTCTGGACAGTCAATTTAGCCAAATAATGGTGAGCTCCAAGTTCAATGAAGAGACTTTCTCTCAGGGAATAAGGCAGAGAGCAACAGAGGAAGACAGCCAGTGTCTCCTCTGGCCTTTGCCTACACACACACACACACACGCGCACACACACGCACACACACACACGCACGCACACACACGCACACACACGCACACACACGCGCGCACACACGTACACACGCGCACACACACGCACACACACGCGCACACACACACGCACACACACACGCACACACACACACACACACCACACATGTTTTTTAAATAGAAGTTAAGCCTCATCTAGTCTCTCATCAAGGCATCTTTCTTTCCTCAGGCAGGTTCTATGGTGACCTTATTAACATTGTCATTCAAATACAAAATAAGGACAACAATAAAATAAAATCTTACCAAGTTTTCATTGACAATTCCATCACTGGCTGCAAAAAAGGCTAAGATGTGGGAGATAAAATACTTCTCATCCGACTTAAGCTTGTTCCAGTGAGGGAGGTCCTTTGACAAGTCAACCTAGGACAAACACACTCCAGTTGCTTTTCACTTAAAGAGTTTAGAAAAGTTTTTCTTTAAAGAAGAGCTATGTCAGAAAAAAAATACATTAAAAATCACAAAAATCAAAATAAGATAAATGGTATGTTAACAATAATGTGCTGTACTCAGAACATTTACCTAATTAGTACATTATAGCTGCTCTTGCCACACAAGAGGACAAGAATCAGTACACGAAACAGTATATATATATATATATGTGTGTGTGTGTGTGTGTGTGTGTGTTCATTTGTTAACAGGAAAAGGTTTATACACGTGTGTGTGCTTGCATGCAAGTGTGTGCGTGTGTGTGCACACGTATTTTACAACACCATGATCCACACCTTAAACATACCCAGTAAAATTTGTTTAAACAAACTAAACAATCCTAGCATGTTCAAGGAAGTGAGGCGGGAGAGAGAGAAACGAGGAGAGAAGGGGAGGAAACTGGTTTTTGGCTAATTGGCCAGGATACATTCTTAACATATTAAAATTAATAAAGCTAGTGGCATAGCACCAAGTTAATGAATGAACAAAAAGGAAAGAGAAAGTAAAAACTAGTCAAGTATATAAAGTAGCTATCAGCAGTCATTTGTTTCTGCAGTAGTTACTATATTAGTTAGATTCATCACCTGCTAATTATAGCCTCTAAGCTACTGCTGGCTACTCTTTTTTACTGAAGAATCATTATGTCAGGAAGATAATAACCTGGGTTTTGAGGCAGTTTATAGGGATGGCTTTGTGGTGGTTTGAATAGGAGTGGTTCCCAAAGACTCATGTGTTTGAGTGCTTGGCCCATAGGGATTGGTACTATTGGCCTGGTTAGAGGAAGTGTACCACTATGCAGGCAGGCTTTGAGGTCACATATGCTCAAGCTACACCCAATGTAGAATACAGTTCACTTCCTGTTGCCTGTGGATCAAGAAGTAGAACTCTTAGCTCCTTTTCTAGAACCATGTTTGTCTGCAGGCTGCCATGTCCTCCAAGATGATAATGTAAACACCTCTGAAAATGTAAACCAGCCTCAATTAAATGTTTTCCTTTATAAGAGTTGCTGTGGCCATGGTGTCTCTTCATAGCAATAGAAATGCTAACTAAGACTGGCTTCTTCTAGAATAAAAATACCTTTGAAAATGTTGATTAAAAGTACTCTTTGTAACTAAGAGAATGGAATCAAAAACTTGGCAAAACCCAAACTTTTCAAATTATCATTAAATGTATCTTACAGAGTTAGCTGGATCTTGCTGCTACACCAAGTCACCACAGACAGAATAGATTTTAAAAAATCATTTATTCTTCAAAGTTCTGGAAGCTGTAAGTCCAAGGTCTGGGTGTGTACTGGCTAAGTTTACAACCAACTGACACAGACAGAGTCATTTTGGAAGAGGGAACCTCAACTGAGAGTGATACAGACAACAGAGGCCTAGCTTGTGAAGTTTCAGAGGGAAGTCTGAGAGTCCCTTAAAAAACTACTGTGCTGTACAGTATTTTGAATTGCTTCTTGGGTTTCAGCCGGAGCTGAAAAATCAGCTGTGGCTAATTAACAAGAGACCAGCACCACTGAAGAGAAACTTTTCCCATGGAGCTGAGAAATTCCACACCATACATCTGACAAATCTTTATAGGGTACAAGACTATTGTCCCACAGTCTTCACTCTCCTCTTGGAATAAGAAAGGAACTTTTTTTTTTTTAATTTTTAACTTAAGGTCACTGTTAAGAAATTTCATTGTAAAAAGATTTCAAACTTTTGGAGAGACTTTGGAGCTACAGAGAGACTTTGGATATTTTAAAGTGACTGAACCTTTTAAGTGTTTGAATTTGTAAAGACTACGGGATTTTTAAAAGTTGGAATGCTTCATATCATAATACTATTATTAATATGAAGGTTTGTGGAAGAACAAGAAATGGTTATGTTTTATTAGTAAAATGTTTGTGTCAAGTTGACAAGGGGTCAGTTGTGCTGGCTAGTGTTATGTGCCCCTTCCCAACACTATATTGGCCTGTGTACAAGCCTGTAGAGTATTTTCTTAATTGATGATTGATGTTGGAGGGTCCAGCCCACCAGGGACAGTTCCACCCCTAGGCCAGTGGTCCTAGGTGCTGAGAAAGCAGGTTTAGCCAGGTGGTGGTGGCACACACCTTTAATCCCAGCACTCAGGAGGCAGAGGCAGGTGGATCTCTGTGAGTTCGAGGTCAGCCTGTTCTATAAGAGCTAGTTCCAGGACAGGCTTGAGAGCTACAGAGAAACCTTGTCTCAGAAAAAAGAAAAAAAGAAAGCAGGTTTAATAAGGCACAGAGAGCAAGTCAGTACGCAGCCAGGTTCTTGCCTTGAGTACCTACTCTGACTTCGCTGGATGATCAGCTACAAGGTGTAAGATGAAATGAACCCTCTCCTCCCTAAGTTGTTTTTGGTCATGGAAATAACCATGATGGGATAGGGGTAGGTTCTTTTTTTTTTTATGTGTACAGATGGTTTATCCGCACGTCTGTTTTTTTGTACTCTGTACATGCTGGCTGCCCACAAAGGCCAGAAGAGTGTTAGATCGCCTGGAACTGGAGTTACTGATAATTTTGAGTCACCATGTGAGTCCTGGGAATCAAACCTGAGTCCTCTAGAAAAGCAGCCAGTGCTCTTAACTCCTGAGTCATCTCATCTCTCCAGCACCCAAAGCGAACATTTTCAAGAAGTTATTTAGACGGTGCCTTCTTGCCATATGGTCACAGGGCAAAGAGAAAACTGCCTTCTGATATTTTTTTTATAAAGACATCAATCTCACTCATGAGACCTTCACCCTTACTATCCTCATTACCAAATTACCTCCCACTGCCCAACCTCCAAACATCATCACACTGGGGATTAATGTTTCAATTTGCGAATTCGGAGAAAACAACAGTGCATAGTTCTTATGTTGTTCTATAAAAACCCCTAAGTGTGTTTCACAGTAATGCGACAAATACTTGAAATATAAAACTGTCCTTTGTAAAAAAAAAAAAAAATTCTGCTGGCTTTGATTCTTTAATTATTCTAACCCAATTTCTTCATGACCTTTCAAAAAACAAAAAGACCAATATTCTAACCTTCAGTCATTGTATCCTTTCCTGAAACTCTTTTCCTGCTATATCGTAAGTATTTCCTGGGCACTCAATACATGCCAGACAGTAGGCTAAGCTCTAGAAATACAGTGGGCTGAGGAGGGAAACACTCGTCTCCACTTTATAAGATATACCAGCAAATCCAAGTTCCCTTCTGCTGTCAGCTCAACTCAGGTTAAATCTTTCCTGTTCTCACATACTATATTCTCGATATTAAATTTAATACTGCAATATGTCTAGTCCTAAATACTAAATTTGACTCTTTAAACACTGAGCTTTAAAATGCCCTATACATTTTACTTGTACTGTTAAATAATCATGGTTATATTTCCTTCTAGAAGTAAAATTCCTCGTCTATTTTATCTCTATGTGCTCATCCTCAGTTTCACCACCTAAACAGTGATTCCAGACTTGCTGCTACAGCTTTCGACCTCACGGCTCCCCGAGGCCCATGTGTTAAAGCAAAGGCTTGGGTGCTACCCTGTGGCAGTTACTGTAAAACTTAATTTTCTCAGGTATTTTTGTCATAGTAACAGAAAGCTTATTATCAGGAATACCTGACTGGCTTTTAGAAAACTTCCAAGCCTATACTTTGTCTTCTGAGTCAGGGCTTATTATTTTGGAATTAATTCAACCACTGATTTAAAAACTAGAATATAAAGCTAGTTAACTATTTTTTTACATAATTTGTTTAATATGTGGAACTAAAAATATCTTTGACTTCCTTTCAAAACATGTATTTGAATCTTCCTGCAAAATCAATATCAACTTACGTTTTAATTTTTTAAATTAGTATATCCTGGTCATAAGACATTTAATATTGTTTTTAAAAGAAGCAATTAATTTCCAATGAATTTTGAGAAACCCAAATATCACAAGTTCCTTTTTTTAAACATGACAAACAAAAAGACCAACTGTGTGCTCTACTGAACCATATCTAACAAAAAGTTTCTAAAAACCACAGGCAGATAGGTAAGTCAGGTGTGCAGACCCTCCTGGACTACTATACAAACACTGGTGTTTTGCTTCATATGTCAACTACAATATATAACAATATCGACAATATAACAACGACATGTAAATATCTGAAAATAGCGTACAGACATTGGTGCTTTAAATTCTAGGCTAAAATTTCTTTTATGAAGTCATAGTTCACATTTATTTAGTGCTTATCAAATGTCAAACATGATTATAACTACTCCATTGATCCTCATAACAACCCAATGTGCCACATACTAGCAGCCTAATTTAACAGTGAGATGCGGAGGAAGAGGAAGCCACTTCCACAGACAGAGCGTGGCAGACCAGGATTTGCATTGAAGCAGCCTGGCCTCAGACCCTGCATTCTTCACAGGGTGTTAGTTCCAGCTTGGTCTGTTTTCTAAACCACCTTTCATCCATCCAACTATCTATCCATCCATCTATCTATCTATCTATCTATCTATCTATCTATCTATCTATCTGTGTGTATGAGGGTGCAGGGTAGAAAAACAGATCACGTGTGTGCTATGACGCATGTGTAGAGATCAGAGGAAAATTCAGGAGTGAGTCCAGGAATCAAACTGAGGCTACCAGGCTTGTTCAGAAAGTGCTTCTGTCCAATGAGCCATCTTGTCTGCCCAGATTTGGTCTCTTGACTGACAGGCATACAGAGCTAAAGACATCAATTCACAAAGACACAGCTCTCCAGAGACAGAGATGCTAATGGATACATATACAGAGGGTACTATGTGCCTCTCATAAGCAATGAGAAATAATTAAATAATAAAGACGACAACTATATGTGTGTTTGATTAAACCACACAGCAATCATTTGCATAAGTATTTTTTAAACCAGCAAGTATTGTCTAACCTATGTGGTGAGCTCACTCTGAAAGTGAAAAAAGTTACATTTATAGTAAGCAGCCAGTGGCTGCGCTGCTGCAGCAGCTGTGCTCTGCTAGACTGTGAACTCAGGCTCAAAGCTGCGTGGACTGCAGGGTGGGCAGACTGCTCACAGGACCGCAGCTGTGTCCCCCTGTGAAGCTATGTAGAAAGAATATGACAAACACCCTGGGTAGTTCTGTTTGTGTTTTTACATATCGTAAAGGCAGCGTCACAGCTGAAATGCCTTTCTAAAGTAAATTATTGTGGTTTAGTTGCTAGTTTGTATTGAGAGTTGACCTCTCCCTGTGCAGTTTTGTTCTAAACTTGTATGATAACAGTGTGTAAAGTGTCTCCCTTCTACACTGTAACAACTGCTTCAGCCTACCTTATAAATAAAGAACCACTAAGAAAAAAAAAAAAGCCAGTGAGGGTCCTTAAGGTTTTCACCCTTCCACTTTTGTTGTTGCTGTTTCTGGTTTTTCTGAGCCTGGGTTTCTCTGTGTTGCTCTGGCTGCCGGAAATCTGTAGGCCAGGCTGGCCTCACACTGGGGATTCGCCTGTGTCTGCCTCCGCAGGACTGGGGTGAAAGGTGTGAGCCACCACTGTCTCACTCTCACACTTCATCTTTTAAACAGCGGCTGCAATTTTGTTTATTCTGCTGACCATACGTATAAACTGGTGTTAGGACTGGCGAAATGGCTCAGCGGGTAAAGGTGCTTGCTGCCAAAGGTGAGATCACTTCAATTCTACAAACACACGCACACATAAATAAATGAGTAACTATAACAACAAGCAAATGAGCGAGCAAAAAACAGACTGGTCTTATTTAGTCATGGGAAACTAAGAATCTATTTAAAAAGAAAAAAAATATGGGTAGACTGGCTGCAGGGATGGCTCACTGGTTAGGAGCATTTGCTGCTCTTGCAGAGGACTCCGGTTCAGTTCCCAATCACCTGTGACTCCAATTCCTGAGACCTAAGAATCTCTGCTGGTCTCTGAAGGCACCAGTAACACATGTGGTGCGCGCGCACACAGACACACGCACACACGCAGGCAAACTTATACACACAGAATAAAAATAAATAAATCTTAAAAAATAGAAAATGGTCTTCTATTTTATATACTATATATTATATATAATATACTATATATACTTCTACAATATACTAAAAGTAAAGGCAAAGGGATCTTGACCATGGACTAACATGGTCAACCTTGGATTAACCTTGTCTCAGAAACAAAAGCAAAAATCTGGCAGAATAAGATGGCATTTCCTTGTACCAAGAAACTTATTTACAGACACTAAGCTAATTATGTTCAATTTAAGTTGATTAAAAATTAGTTATATTTATTACTAATGAGAACTAAGGATCTATATTAATTCTGAGCCATATCTTATTTAATGTTTCTTATGAGTAGAAATATTTCGATACCCTGTAAGGCAAGCACTGAACATGCAGGAAGGAACACCAACGCAGACTTGCCACATACCTCCTCTGCGGTCCAGAAAGACGCCTGTGCTTGTTTATACATCTTCCAAATATCAGGGTACTGGATCGGAAAGATGACAAACCGGCGGGAACTCTTTCTTAGAAGAGGCTCTTCATTTGACCTCTCTGTGTTTTCGTTTGTATCTGAAGACAATTGCTTTAAAAAATCAAAGTAAAAACACTTTTTTTAAATGTAGAAATTTCTCTCTGACTCAAACTTAAATATACATCTGGGAAAAGTCTGAGAGATAGCACAGACTGGGGAAGCAGTCTGATGTACAGAATCCTTTCGGGTATCCAACCATTGGGTAACTTCACAGCACTCTGGAGGCAGAAGCAGACAGATACATCTGTGAGTTCAAGGCCAACCTGGTCTACAGAGTGAGTTCCAGGACAGCCAGAGCTACACAGGGAAATCCTGTCTTGATAAACAAACAAACAAACAAACAAACAAACAATTAATTAAAGTTACTTTCTGAGCTACAGCAAAACTCAGAGAGGGAGAGACAGAGATAGATGCTCAAATACACCATTAGCTAGAACTGAGGACAAATTGAGAAGGCATAAGTCTCGAGTAAAGAGGTGTGTAGGGGGCTGGAGAGATGGCTCAGTGGTTAAGAGCATTGCCCAGCAACCACATGGTGGCTCACAACCATATGAAAATAGATCTGATGCCCTCTTCTGGCCTGCAGGCAGACACACAGACAGGATAGTGTATACATAATAAATAAATAAATAAATAAATAAATAAATAAATAAATAAATAAATTTAAAAAAAAGAAGTGTGTAGGGTGTCATGTGTGTGTGTGTGTGGTGTGTATACAGTATACATAAACAGTATGTGTGTGTGGTGTGTATGCATGTGTGTGTATGTGGGTATGCAGTATATACATGAGCAGTATGTGTGTAGGTGTGAGTTTATGTAGGTGTATGTAGGTGTGTGTCACCAGAAGGTGTGTGTCATCAGGTGTCTTTGTCTACTCCACTGAACCCTGAGCCCCTGATTGGCTAGACTGACTGGTCTAGCCATCAACCTATCTCTGCACCTACCCCCCAGCGCTGGATACATATCAACACTAGATTTTAGTTGGGTGCTGGGAATTTCAACTGAGATCATCATACTTACAAAGCAGGCACTACTAAATGAACTATCTCCCTAACTCAGTCAACAAGGATTTTGAATCCATGTGGCCCATATTACTCTTTTAATTCTTTTAGAAATATATCAATTGCATTGAAATATTATTCTGCATTTTACCTGTGCTTTGTATTATACTATTGAGGTATCTATAGGACTAGAAATCTCTACCATCATTCCATTTGCTAGATGGGGCATTCTGAAAGGTAGGAAGGAAAATAGAAGCAGTCACCCTTGGAGTCTGTACATCTTAGAGAATACCTACCTGGCTGGGCTCAGGACTGGGGAAGTTTTGAAGACTAGTACCTTTAAACTGGAATGTAAGCGACATTTGTATAGACTTTCTTCCTGTCCCCCCCTGGTAAAAATGCAACATGACACTAATTCATGAAGGATTAAAAGAAGCCCCATCAGGAAGGTATTATTATATATTCTATCATGTGACGAGAGGGGGGGGGCTAACTAACATAAACCTCTCAACTGGACCTGAGTTGACAAATTTCATAAGGCATATTTTAACACAGTTAGAAGAGGTTCACGTAAGGTTCTCCAGGATGCCCTCAGCAGGCCTGTGGTAAAAAACCATTCTTTAGGGTATTCTTATTGTTATTTGCTTTTCCTTTTTGAGCTGTGTCTTACTATGTAGCCCAGGCTAGCCTCACACTTTGACTACCCACCTGAGTCTCCTGTGTGCTGGGATTATAGCTGTGTGCCACAATGATGAACTTAGCACGGTTGTTTCCAGCAGCTCCCTTTACTGCGTTCCCCAGAGCTTCCCACCTAAGTCTTCCTGGCGGTAGGTTTCTTTCTACATTTGTCATTAGCTTACACAACATTTCATTACATTACAGGGTCGCAGAGAGGTCTCACCCCGGCAAGGTCAACACAGTATGAGGAGAAGTGGGCAGTGCAGGGAAGCAGCCTGCTACTGGCCACACAGTCTGAAGCCTCTGGCTACCATGTATGTCAATGATGGACAAACCAACAGCACAGATTAACAGCAAGGTGAGTAAGAGAATAATCTAATGCTGTGCATCGACCCAGCACTCGGGAGGCAGAGGATGATGGATCCCTGCGTTTGAGCCCAGCCTGGTCTACAGAGTGAGTTCTAGGCAAACCAGTGCTACACAGAGAAACTTTGTCTTGAAAACAAAACAAATAAACAAAAAACACCAGGGAGAACTGATAATATACAAAGAAAATGTTGGCTGGTTAGATATAAATCTTCACCTTCCATTTATATCTAAATTCAAAATAAGTTTGTCAACTCTCACAATTTCTTTGACTTATTTTATAATCTTATAAATAAAAACTTAAAATTATTCTACTAGAATAAAAAATAAAAAATAAAGTGAATTTATCAAATGGCATCACACTTATGATTTTATTTGGAAATTGGGGTCCAGTATTAATGCCACAGAAAGGATCTTGAATGTAAATACTAATCTCACCACAGCTATTGTCCAATAACTTCTCTGAAACAATGCTTTGTTAATTTAAAAAAATCAATGTCATTATTTTATAGAAAAAAGACAAATTAACTTTTGAATTCTAAAATATTATTCCTTGGCTAAATTTTATCTGAAGTTAGGCTGGGTATGTCTATTTTGCATACTAAATGGAAATTAAGAAATTAATTTTTAGAAACTTTGGAGCAGGTAATCTAGCCTCTAAATGTAACACTTGGAAGCGCTGAAGGTTTGTTTGTTTGTTTGTTTATTCTTTTTCACCAAAGATTTTTAATCAGACAAGTAACAATATTGGATTTGTGTTTTATGATCCCTTGTAGAAATGAGGCAGGGTTTGAAAAGAAATTGAAAAGAGACAAATTTTAAATTAGTGTCTTTCCCATTTCTTGTCCTTATTGTCTTCTGATTTCCATATATTCACAGTGGGATATGTGTTCCTACACAAACACATAGATATAGCCTCCTACACACACACACACACACACACACACACACACAAATGAACTTTAAAAAATAAAACAAATAGTTCTTGCTAAAAATATTCAACCCCTGCAACTGCAAGATTTTTACCAGAAATAACAGGGCATAGAAAATGCTCAATATGCGAACAGCTGAATAACCAGACCAGAACTGGTCCACTCTCAATCAGTTTAACACAAAGTAGATCAACTGTTACTACTAGCCAAGCGCCAGTAACAAAGCTATTAATACAAAGTATCTGTTGTTGAGAGAGGCTATCTACTGTAGTTACTCAAGCGCCAGTAAGGAAGTTATTAATACAAAGTATCTGTGTTGAGAGAAAGCTATCTACTCTAAGTTACTCTATAATGTATACAAAAAAAGCGGCTTAAGGCTGTGCTTTTATGGGCGGAGGATGTCTGTGCTCCTAGGTGGACAAGCAGCACCAGTCTGTCCAGCACTGCTTTTGTAGTACAGACTGACAAATGACTTGTTCCTGGTAGTAGAAAGGGGACCTCCCTGTACACGTGCCAGGTGCATTGAGACTGTGGGGCACACGGGAGCACTACAATCTTATTCGGAAACCCCGGCTCAAGAATGTATCAGACATAACAGATTAGAGGAGTATAAATCTCTCACATGACCTTCATAAGGTGGTGAGTACCTAGAACTGTGATGAGAATGGCTCCACACCTACCTACCTGCTGCCTGGTGTGTGTGTGTGTGTGTGTGTGTGTGTGTGTGTGTGTGTGTGTGTGTAACTGACAAGCAGAGAACTCTTGATTGTCTTTGGGGCTTCAGCTTAGTCCCTATCCACCTGCTCCTCCATTCACCTGATTATCCATTCACTTGCTCTCCCATCCACCTCACCTATTCACCTGCTAGCACACATACCTGCTAATCCATCCACTTGCTCACCCATGCACCAGCTAACACATGTACCTGCTAACTCATCCACTTGCTAATTCTTGTTCTAACCCAGTCCTTCCCTCCTTGCCTCTGTAGCCAACTACATGGCCACCTACAATCCTGACTCTCCTGCAGCCTGGTCTCTACAGCATGGCCGGCTCTGAGTTCCTTCTTTACCAGTAAACTACTCACCTGTAGCCTCTTTAACATATTCATTCGTAAACTGCATAGAGAAACATTTTTGTGTAATGTGTGATAGAAGAGTTAATACTAATAAAAGGCTGAGACAAAAGAACCTTTCCTCAGCCAGATCACCAAAGGTTACCTGCCATATTGCTGTCACTGAAACTGCTGTCCCCTGCAAACTTATCATCATCCAATAACTCTGACATGTAGAAGAATACAAACATGTACATCTGTGTATCTGGCATAGCACATTCAAAACAATCTATAAAGTCAGTTTTGTCAATAAGAATGATAACAAATTCAGGTTCGAGATTTCTAGTAGGCAGCTGAAAATAGAACACTATGGCACAAGAGAGAGGGCAACTCTGTTAATAATTACCAAGGAAACGGATGATCCGGGGAGAACTGGAGGGAACAGGATAGCTGAGGGCACAGCCTGCGGGCCCTGAAGAATGCCAACACACAGAGCTTGAGACTTAGCTCGTTTGGGAGAGCACTTGCCTACCACGTATGAAGCCCCATGTTCTATCCCCAATGCTGCATAAACTAGGCCCTGAGATCAATGAAGAAGTTCTAAGTCATCTTCAGCTGCATAGTCAGTCTGAAGGGCAGTCTGGGGTAAGTGGGGTCCAGGCTAAAAAAAAAATCAGAAAGACAAGGGGGTGAGGAAGAGAATGCTAGCGTGTGGAGAGTAGAGAAGCCAGGGGGAGACAGACTGAAAGGCAGGGAGGACAAGCAAAAGCAGCAGTGGTCTGATCGGACTCCAGCCTCAGCAAAGAGAGGAATTCTAGAAAGGATGAGACGCTGAATGTCAACCAGTCTAGGGGGAAATTAAAGGTTTACAAAGATGTGGCAGTGTACAGAAGCTCATATCTGAATTCTCCTTGCCCTCATTTCTTACCTCTGGCCCTCATTATACATACATTATGACATGATTCTTATGGATAATCACCAAGAGTTTCTGACTAGGAATTAACAAGAATAGAAGTGGCACCTGGAAGACAGATACCTCAGGTTCAGGATGAATGAGAAAAAGAAACTAAGCCGGGTGGTGGTGGCGCACGCCTCTAACACCAGCACTTAGGAGGCAGAGGCAGGAGGATCTCTGTGAGTTCAGGCCACCCTGGTCTACAGAGTTCCAGGACAACCAGGGCTACAGAAAGAAACCCTGTCTCAAAAAAACAACAACAATAAAAAAAGAAAAAATAAAAGGAAAGAAACTAAATTTTGCTAACAAATAATGTACAAATTGAGAACATAAATTAAGATGTGAAAATTGTACTAAAAATAAACTTGACTTTGATAGGCCCTTGCTAGTGAGTCTTATTAATTTTTTTTTTTAGTGGGAATTGAGAGCTTGAGAGATTTCTGTAGAATGAGCATTAGGGATGTAACAACCAATCACATATTTAATGAGAGACAGAGCTGACAGTGGCAACAGGACTGGAGGGCAGGGAAGCCGGAAGGCAGAGAGCCAAAGCCAAAGCCATGAGAACCTAAAGTAATCCTTGGCAAGAGTCTACCACGTTTTTCAAAACCTGTGTTTTTAGTTTCTTCTGTCTTCGCTTCTGGTCATCTGGTATGAAGAGTTGCCAAGATAAAAATCTAGGTCATGATTCCCCGGTAGTTGCCTACACAACCTAATCGAGACTGGCATCTGCGTGTCTCAGACTCTCACCCCGCCCTTCTCCGCCTGCCTGTGGCTGCCCAGGCTGCCTCTCCGCCCTTCTTCGCTTGCCGGTGGCTGCCTCTCGAGTCCCTGCCACTTATCTGCGCGCTGTGGCAGCCACGTACTTTTTAAAAGTATCATTTTATTCTCCATCACCACCAATAGAATCCTGGCTGAGGTCAACAACTTGGGGAGTTGAACCTGGTTCTAGTGATGAGTCTTAGGCGTGTCATTCGGGGTTGTCCAGTCTTGGACATTCTGAGGAACTGATGAGCGCTATGGACACTGTGGATTCACACACACATGACGACCCTTGAATCCAGGGCGCTAAGATCACCTGCAGAGCTCGTCACACGTACAGGTCGTGGGCTCAGGGACTTGGTCTTTATTAGTAGCTGCAGATGGTTCTGACACCAGTAGGCCCCACTGCTCTGTCATATCCAGAGATAGAAGTTTCAGATATCCCTGCATCTCAAAAACCTTTGAACTCATTAAAAGTACTCACTAAAATTCACCCTAGCCTAAAATTCTGCTCTCTTTATTAATCAAAGGTTAAAAGAAAAAAAAAAAGTGAACTTCTAGGTGTTAGGGCAGAACCTCCCTCCTGGTGTCACTGGCAAATCAGAGAAGTCAGAGTTTTCACCTGAGTGGAGAAACTGGTATGAGGACCTTTGTTTCAAGGAGAACAAACTAAGGGATAGTCATAGCTTATTACCAAATGTTTACAAAATAAAAATCAACCTAGAATCTACATCTTTGTCTAGAAATGCCAGTTTAATTAAGCACGAAAGTCCGTGGGCTGAAACTTTTATGTCCCTTCCAAATTGCCATAATATTAAATTCAAAGATACCACACTGAGATACAAAAACGTATTACTCATATATTCCGAATATCTTAGAATATTTGCCTCCCCAAAATGGGGTACTGGAAACCATACAATAATAACTTAAATGACTATGTACTCTTCTAATATGGTATTTATGTGCGTTATCACCTTCATCTCTCTGGTAGCACAGAAGCAAAGGGGATAAGTAAGTTAATTTTAGATTTATTAAGCTCCGTGGCACTTTGCATAACAGCACTTCATTCTCTGTGAAGGAAGGAACAGACACCCCGAGGACTCCGTTGCAGCTCGGTCTGCGCCCAGCTGGCCTCGCGGCCCCGCCTGTCATCTGCCCCCTCATGCACCTGCACACGCGCTCCTCGGCAGCGGAGGGGAGAGCCGCCGCAGCCCCAGCCAGGGTTCCAGAGCAGGAGACACCGGGAGAGCCGCCGTCCCGGGCAAGCCCCGAGCGAGCCCTGCGCCCGCGCCCCTCCCCCACCAGCCTGCAGCGAGGGCGCTTCCTTCCGGCGGTACCGGGTCTCCGACGGCGACGATCAGGACTCCGCAGCCGAGCCAGGACCCGAAGTTCGGGCCTGACCCTCCCTGCGGCGGAGGATGGAGCGACTGCGACCTTTACCTCATCCTCCTCCGGCCTGGCCGCCGCCGGCCTTTCCGGCTCGCCCATCGCGCCGACTCCGCCAGAGCTAAGGAAGCCCAGGGCCTGAGCGCGGCGACTTAGCTCCGAGCCGGAGCGGAGAGCAGACACTAGCGGAGGCCGGCCGCTCCGCCCGGCGCGACCCTCCTCCGGCTCCGGGCCACCCACGGCCGCTTCTCCTCCGAGAGGCTCCTCCCCCAGGCGGCCCCGCCCCACTTCGCAGAGGCTCCGCCCCGTCCCGCCCCTCCGAAAGGCTCCTCCCCCGGGAGGCCCCGCTCCACTCCGTCCTTAGCCCTCCAGCTTCCGGTCACCCAGCCTGCTCCCGGGCGTGCCCTGCGCGCCACCGCGTCCCTGACGTCATAGGCCCCGCCTACCCCCGCGGACCCAAGCCGGAAGCTCCCGCCTGCAGTCTGCCTGACCTGCTCACCCGGACCACCTATCCACAGTCCCTCGCTGGCCACACGGTAGGGAATGCTCACACGGGAGGTGGCTAGAGACTGCCAGGTGGCTGCAGAGCCACCCACTGTGTGAACATCCTTAAGTCTGGACTCCTCTCTTAGACAGACTCTTCCAAAAATTCCTGCAAGAGCCCCTTTACTTCCTGCTTCCAGGACGTGTACCAGGTCTACAAGAGAGTACAAGCACACGTGACTGACCCTTTCACAGATTTCCTTTATTCCCAGATGCCTTCACCACCCCATGGCTCACATCTACAAAGTCAGCGTCATGAGGACAATGCAGGGATCTGCCACAGCCTCGAATAGTCAGTCCGCTCTAAACAGACAGGGCACCTGGGCACAAACCTCCACTATGGGGAAACGAGTTTCTGCAACAGTTCCCTGGGAGGCTCTGCGGGAGTGAGCCTTGAGGCTCTCTTCTCAATCCAAATAAAATCCTTGCAGAAAATTGGCAAGCACGAAACTCTTCATTTTAAAACTTAAGTATAGGAGTTCTGTTTAACAGGCCATGTTTACTATTCAGAAAGACCTCGAATGGAAAGGAGGTGCGCACATCTGGAGGTGTAGACTGGAGCCACTTGGAATAGGCTATGTGCAGGATAATGCGAACTTGATACAAGGCAATGGGAAAGCCAAGGGCTCTGCAGGTGAGAGCAACAACTGCTCTAAGTTCAATTCCTAGCACCCGCGTGGAGGCGGACAACCTTCTCTAGTTCCAAAATACCAACGCCCTCTTCTTCTGGGCTCCATGGACCCATATGCATAGAATAAGAATAAATATAATTTTCCTTTTTAAAGAATATCTCTTCAAGATGCCTTCATTATTAAGTAGCTGTGGAAGATACTCAAATTTAAGTATGAGTTTGAACCCTGGAACCCACCCTAAAGTCAGGAGAACCAACTCAACAGAGCTGGCCTCTGACTTTGGGCGTGCTGGGCCTTCAACTCAAGGTTTCACACATGCTAAACGTGTACGTATGTGAACTACACTCCTGCACCATGCATCTTTTAAAATTAAAGGTTCGTTGATGCCCTTTTTCAAAGCATATAAAAAGCTTTTGTGAAATGGTTATGCTGGCTCTGAAGCGTAGCAAACACACTAATGGCCATATACTCTAGACCAGTGTCTACATTACACTAACGGCCATATACTCTAGACCAGTGTCTACATTACACTAACGGCCATATACTCTAGACCAG